GTTGACTACAATAAGTAAGCAGTTCAAACGGCACGTTTCTGTTTTAAGTAAACATTAGTCTGTAGAAAAAAGTGTTCGGAGACAGGTAGCTTGCAAATGAAGCTACCACTTCATCTCTATAAAAATCATAGGCTCAGATGAAGTGCCTTATTTTTGTGTTTCAGTGGATGCATTGTAGGAAGAGCATTTTCTTTGTCTATATTTAGGTTATTAAAATTGCTAGGCCTGCCCATCAGCCTCTGCAAAACTCTATGGAAAAAAAGAAAAACTGGGACAAATATCAGGACATATGGCTCATTGTTTTGAACAAGTCTTTTAATTGATTCTACACTTGCTCATTTGTGTTATGACAAAGTTCCTGTGAGTGACTAGGAGGTGTGAGAGTCGGGGAGTTAGAAAGGAGTCAAAGGGATCCCCATGTGCTGGCACACCCCAGCCTCGATAAATATTACATGACGGCAGTCATACCTTTTTGTGGGATACAATTCATTGTTTCAATAATTAATGTCGCCAGTGCATGTTTCTAAGAGTACCAAAGGTAAATAATTTACTGTAATTACCAAAGAGGAGTGGTATTACTTATTGCTTAGAACTTGAAAAAGAATAGGTCTTTTGGAAAATAGCCTTAGGGCTGCCCCAAATGGAGGAATTGCAGTTTGCTAAAAAATAAAGTGAGCAGCACCACCTACTTTATATTAAATATTTTGCCCCACTCTGAGGGTGGGTTGGTTGGGGTCTTTAAAAGTCAGTAAAATTGGGGGCTTCCCTGGTGGCACAGTGGTTGAGAGTCCGCCTGCCGATGCAGGGGACACGGGTTCGTGCCCCGGTCCGGGAGGATCCCACGTGCTGCGGAGCGGCTGGGCCCGTGAGCCATGGCCGCTGAGCCTGCGTGTCCGGAGCCTGTGCTCTGCAACAGGAGAGGCCACAGCAGTGAGAGGCCCGCGTACCGCAAAAAAAAAAAGAAAAGTCAGTAAAACTGGTAAGTGAGGCCAGATGAAACCAACACCTAATCTTTGGTTAACCCATAAAGAATTTGGGAACGTTCTGAAGTGACGTATTCATCTTTGGGGGTTAGGACCCTAGTTCTGTAAACTCTTGTTAACACCATTGATCGCATACCCATCCACCAGATGTGTCCTCTCTCACCGAATGCACAGACGGCTGCTCCTCATTCATTTTTGCATTTTCCTAGGATCTAGGCAGGACAGTGACTTACACATAAGTGCTCTGCAAGTTATTGTTCCATTTGATCTCAGGGCTTTTTTTTTTTTTTTTTTTTTTTTTTGCGGTACGCGGGCCTCTCACTGTTGTGGCCTCTCCCGTTGCGGAGCACAGGCTCCGGACGCGCAGGCTCAGCGGCCATGGCTCACGGGCCCAGCCGCTCCGCGGCACGTGGGATCTTCCCGGACCGGGGCATGAACCCGTGTCCCCTGCATCGGCAGGCGGACTCTCAACCACTGCGCCACCAGGGAAGCCCAGGGCTATTTTTTAATCTTTGTAATTCACAGTAATTTTTAAAATTTAAGTTTTCTTATTATGAACCTTACACACACAAATAAAAAGTCATCACCTATTTATTTATACCTTAGACGGAACCCTGTGGAGATTTTCCCTCAGCTGGCCTAGATTTATACAACCTACGAGCTATAGCTCAATCTAGAACTGTGACTAAGCTGATAGCGAGCAGGAAAGATCTTTTTGGAGTAGCATCTTCAAGGAAAGATCCAAGCAGCGTGGAAATGAATGTGTTAAAGTCACTCCGACTGGATTAAGGGTCTCCTGGCCAGCGAGCATCTTCCCTTTGTCTCAGCAGGCCCCCAGCTGGCACACGGGCTCACAATTTGCTTCCAAATATCTTAGCCTGGCCATAGGATCTGGTGTTCAAAAGGAAAGGGGCACATGAAGATTTCCCCTGTCTGCAACACTCTGGGCAAAGAATATTCTTTGCCGGGTGATCTTTGGCTGTTGCAACACGTGAGAATTAACCGTTCAAATAAAGGTCCTTCTCCATTTGGGGAAAAAACCAAAAAAGTCATGTTCTTTTACAAGACATACTCAATAGGATTAAAAAGAGCATCCCCATATACACCTTCAGCCCCCAACTTCTCCTCTCCAGAGACAACTGCTCGGGGTACCTTTTGATGACTGAGTACTAAGCTTATGGGATGCTCTCTGCATGGTTGAGGGCTTAGCATCTGTGATTTCCACTAAATTAATAAGTCTGGGACATTTCACTGGAAAATCCCAGAGAAGACTCCCCATTTTCTGCCTCAAGGCTCTGTCCCTAACTGTCTGTCTGGGAGACCAGTAAAGGTAGAAAGAAGGCTGGGTCTGAACATTCATTACATAAACTTTCAATTAATCTCCATTTTCATTATGGTGCCTCTGAACTTCTAATCTTCTGCCTCTGGTTTCTATGCCTCTAGATTTCTGCCAAGGTTGATGGGGGGTGAGTTATTTGGCAACTGATAAATCAGTGAGGGGATTATGGAGATCAGATCCCTTTTTAGAGAGACTTTCAACCAATCCTTGTTTTTCTGTTGATGTCTTCTCTTATTCTCTTTGCCTGTGTGTGTGTGTGTGTGTGTGTGTGTGTGTGTGTGTGTGAGTGTGAATTCTTGACTGTCATTTTACTGGGGTTTCAGTAGAAAGCAGATCTTTAGAAGGATGAAAATTGAGATTGATTTCGTTTTTGGTGTGTGAGCCAGTATCTCTCATCAGGTTTGGAACATTCTTAGCCATTCTCTCTTCAAACATAGCCCCTACCTTATTCTCCTCTTCTACTTCCGAGAGTCCAATTACACACACGTTAAAACCTTTCACTGTGTTCTACGTCTCATACTATTTTCTGTATTTTCCATTCTTTAAAAAAATCTACCCTTGACATATACACACCACTATATTTAAAACGGATAACCAGGAAGGACCTACTGTATAGCACAGAGAACTCTGCTCAGTATTCCGTAGCAACCTAAATGGGAAAAGAATTTGAAAAAGAATGGATATATGTATACGTATAACTGAATCACTTTGCCGTACACCTGAAACTAGCACAACATTGTTAATCAACTATAGTCCAATATAAAACAAAACTTTTTTTTAAATCTACCCTTCATTTTTTATATTTTTCCATTAACACTTCCCATATATTAACCCTGTCTCCTATTGTGTTTAAGAACTGACATTATACTTAGAACTGAACAAAGGCCCATTTGATTTTCTTACGTATATTCCAGTCCTCTGTTGAATCATCCACCTTTTAATTTCTTTTCTCTATCTTTTTTCCTATTTTCTTAAACATACTAATCATAGTTATTATGATAACTATAATCAAAGTTCTTATTAACTTCCTTCAAAATGTAGGATGACTTGGGAGTCTGTTTATAGTATCTGGGTTTGTTTTGTTTTTGTTTTTGTTCATGTGCTCTGGCCATGCTTGGCAGTTTTTCATTGCGTGCTGGACATGATGTATAAAAACAAGTTTGTAGATACGACACACCCAGTGATGATAATATTCCTTCAAAGAGGATTCACCATCCCTCTGCGAGGCAAAGAGTGGCGGCTGATTCTTCTCATCCAGTCAAGATTTTGCTGAAATGAGGCTGGTTCGCAGCCCTGGTAAATCTCAGGTTACCTCTGGTCTGTCCCTGGCCCTTCAGGGTCCTTATTTGAAATTCTGGTATGATCTTTGGGTCCCCTCCCCTTCCAAGTCTCACACTCTAAATCTTTTTCTCATGAAACTGCCCAAAAGCTCTGTTATGCCTTTCAGAGATTTTCTGGTTAGTTTTTTAGCTACCTGTTCTGCACAGCTCCAGAGTTTATTTATTTATTTTTAGTTTAATTTTATTTATTTTAATTTTTGGCTGTGTTGGGTCTTTGTTGCTGCACTCAGGTTTTCTCTAGTTACAGCGAGCGGGGGCTACTCTTCGTTTCGGTGCGTGGGCTTCTCATTGCGGTGGCTTCTCTTGTTGTGGAGCGTGGGCTCTAGGCGCGCGGGCTTCAGTAGTTGTGGCTCGCGGGCTCAGTAGTTGTGGCTCGCGGGCTTAGTTGCTCCGTGGCACGTGGGATCTTCCCGGACCAGGGCTTGAACCCATGTCCCATGCACTGACAGGCAGATTCTTAACCACTGGGAAGCCCCAGCCCCAGAATTTAGCAAATGTTCTGAACGGAAATCTGTAGCATGCTTGAGGCCACCCACATCTCCACCAAAACTCCCTTGGTTTTTCTGTTCCCCAGCAGGTAGCCCCTGTAGGCACAAAGCCCAAATTCCGTCTGCACTGGTAATTGACAAATGCCCCCAAGTTAAAAATGGCAACAAAAAACTCAACTCTTCCAGGTACCCACCTCTCCAAATATAGCTCCTCAGTTTTGCACCTCAATTGTCCTCTGCTGCCCGCAGAGATGATTTCCACACTTACCTGTTGTGCTTAGCACAGCATTAGGCTGCTGCTGGCTTCTCTACCCCACTTGGAAACGGAAGTCATCAAGATTGAATTTTTTTATTTTTATTTTGAGATTCGGAAAAGAAATTTACAATTGTCAGATTAATTTAGAGATTGTTGAAGTACTTAAAATCATGGTTAGCATTACTTCTGTGATATTCCTTGTGCCATGCCAGTTACTCAAGATGGTTTCTTAAAAGATTGAGATAATACAGCATATCAATGAACTTTATTTCTAATTCTTGAAACTTCAATGTAGACCTGTGGAGGAATTTACAGTCAGGCCCATGGATGCAGAGGGCCAATGACGCTAGTTATTTTATATGAGGTACTTGAGCATCTCCGGATTTTGGTATCCACGGGGATGGGTGGGCGGGGGGTGTCCTTGAACTGATCACCCGAGGATACTAAGGGGCAACTGTAAAAAAAATATATATATATGCTTACTTTGAATGTTAGACTATCTGGACTATGGAGACATACAGGTGTATTTTGTATGTACAGAGAAACCACTGTCTTGGATGGGTTGTTGACACAATATATCGTTTTATTTTTCAGCATCTAACATTCACAAGAGAATTTGATTCAGATTCTCTTAGACATTACAGCTGGGCGGCAGACACCTTGGACAATGTCAATCTTGTCTCAAGTCCTGTTCATTCTGGGTAAGTAACCAAAAAGTCACTTTTCCTATTAAATTAACATTGCACTTACTATTTGCAGTTATAGATTCATATTGACAAGCTTCACATGTATGAGGTATTGACCTTCTAAAGGACTTCATTAGTGAGTATATGTGGTATATATTTGTAAGTCATTAGTAAATATTTTTGCTAAACAAATCTGCATTTCTATTTTTATTGGTAAAAGCACCATGTTAGAAAGGAAGTTACTAAGGTGCATAACCACTTCCTGGCTATTCTGGCACTACTTTTAGGTCTCTAATTTTCCTTTTCAATAAAAAAAACTTTAATACAGTCATTTCTCTTAATTTTACTTTATTCAAATGAAGCTTTTTTCTGAGTATCTGATTTTCCTGAAATAAAATTATAATGAAGCTGTATTAAATTAAAATTTTTTTAAATAAATGAATTTTTAAAAGAAAGGAAAAAGTGAATGTACCAATGTGTGTACCCTGGAAGTGCTGTAGTAAAAACCACGTCAGACAGGCTCCTTGTTGCTGCCCTGTTAGTCAGCAAAATTTGAGGCAGGCCGCTAAAAGGTGACCTGCTTCAATTGCTGAATTGAAAATTACTGTATTTTTAGATATTGGATTCTTAGCCTATTATAGGTAATTAAACTTGGGATAATTGATTCGCATACAAATGGAATCGAAATAATTCATTAAGATGATGAAAATTTCAAAGTATTTTCGCCTCTGAAATTGACATTTAGGCCATAAATTAGTTGTGATCCAGGACAAGTGCAGATTCAATTTATTTAATTCTGAATTAAATAAATTAACAATAATTAACATTTGTGAAGTGCCTTATATATTTTATGAAGTATTTTTTGCTGCTTTTAATTACAATAAATTGTAATGGCTAACCTACCTAGTGCTTTTCATGTATCTGGCATTGTGCTAAATCTTTTACATGTATTATCTTATTTAATATTTATTTGAACCTTAAAATGACACTGAGATAGGCTTTACTCATTATCCCCCTTTTACAGAGGAAAAGTCCTAGACTCCAAGTAATGCTGCAGGTTATTTAAAGTATTCTTACACAATTGTGGCTTGTAACACCACAATTGTGAAAAACAAGTCACTGCAATGTCATTTAAATGGAAATAATTCACATGAAAGTGCCTTATAAACTATAAACTACATGGTGGTCTTTGAATCATTAATATTGCATTTCTTTAATTCAGTTAGAAAAAGCTTTAACTATAGTAATATTACATTTTAAACTGCTTAAAATAGCTACACGATTTATAGTAGATGTATTTGGGTCTAAAATTGCAAAAGCAAAAATCAAACCAAAAAAAAAAAAAAGTTGAGAAGGAAAATATGAAACACCCAGAATAGGGCTTCCCTAGTGGCACAGTGGTTAAGAATCCACCTGCCATTGCAGGGGACACGGGTTCAAGCCCTGGCCTGGGAAGATCCCACATGCTGCGGAGCAACTAAGCCCATGCGCCACAACTGCTGAGCCTATGCTCTAGAGTCCGCAAGCCACAACTATTGAGCCTGTGTGCCACAACTACTGAAGCCCGTGCACCTAGAGCCTGTGCTCCGCAGCAAGGGAAGCCACTGAAATGAGAAGTTCATGCACCGCAGTGAAGAGTAGCCCCTGCTTCCCGCAACTAGAGAAAGCCCACGCACAGCAACGAAGACCCAAGCAGCCAAAGATAAATAAATTAATTAAATAAATTAAAAAAAAAACACCCAGAATACATTCATTAAGTGGGCAAACATACTGAAGAGTTTTTTGAACCAAACTTGGTGAATTGCCACCATGTGACAACAATCTAGAACCAGCACTTTGTATTCTACGTAGGAAAGAAAAGCACTAGGGTTTAATTTAGTAAATTGAGAAGTTGAGGGATCATAGGATAAGAAAATCAGAAATGAGCTTTCCCCTGCACTGGAGGCAGTGTAGTATGTGAATAGGCAACTAATGTCTCCTTCCCCTTGAATTCACTGAAGACAGTAGACTTTTGCAAGAAAGGAACAGTAATGGCAGCTAATTGGGCTTATTTGAAAAGGAAAATATACACTTGGTATACACTTGGAAATAGCTCACTAATGCCAGGTCTATGGTGTAGCTTATATATAGCCATTTAAGGCAAATATTTTTCCAAGTTGTCCCACAAATGCCAAATGCCTTGGTTTCATTTTCTGATGGTTTTTATTTTTCCTTTGCTTATCATTGACATTTTCTGTTGCTTGCTTCTAATTATCTTACATTAATTTTTCCCATTTGCTTTCTAAATTATTTTGCAGCTATTCTTCTCCACTTCCTCAGTATGATTCAAGGTGATAACTGTGTCTTTTATGTGAACCATCCCTTTTTGTATTTTTAATTTATGTGAATTTTTCCCACAGTTAGATTGTGTCAATGTCTGTAGTGTATCAGCATTTGTCACCCTGCTGTTCCTAAAGCTAGAAACATTCATTCATGTGTTAGTTTTAGGATCATTGGTAGAATTCCTGCTTTAGTTTAAATGTTAATAAGATACAATGAATATGATTAAATATCACCTTTTCATTTGTTTCTATAAATTATATTGCATGAAATTTTATTTTGCATACAATATGTAAGGGATGAGTTTAGAAAACAAATCACTATATTTCATAATGCTATTAACAGGACCCAAAATCAGGCTTAAACATCTACTCCCATCTTTCCTCAGTCTTTTGGCTCTATAAAACTGAAAACCATAGAACAATAAATGATCAGTAATGAGCACCAACTATGCACTGGTTGCTACACGGAACACAAGGAGATTCTTCCAATTTTATTAAAATCTTCTAAGCCATGGTTTTTCCATTTGGTTCTGATATTCTTTGTAGCTGGGGTATTTTTATATTGACACTGGTAACCTTGTTATACTACCTTCACTTTATATATATATACTTTATATATATAAAATATTTATATATGTATATATTTTTTCCATATTTTTTTTCAGTGTTAGTAACCAAGTCTGACCTAGGCAGTTTCTGAGCACACTTAACAAAATGGTTTTGTTCATTGGTTTATCCAGTAAACATTTACTGTGTGCTGATCATGTATGGGAACTGTGCTCAGCTCTGTAGGTTAAGCAGTGAACGAGACAAAACCTGATCTGAATTATTATCTGTATTAGTGAGACTCAGCTGTTTGTTGCCAGGGCAAACACAGCCCTCTCAGTGTAAACACTCCAGTGTTTATCTGTATCAATACTAATACAACTGCATTTTCAAACCCAGAGTTTATCTTGAATCATTTGTAATTCATCCTGTTACTCTTAGTCCCAAGCACAAGTTGATTTTTAACTACTGGAAGCTGGGAAAGATGAGATTTTTGTGTTGGGCTTCCTTATAATATGCCACATTGTCTTTATTACTGAATAAAAGTAGTTGTTAAGTATGTATATGTCTAAAAAAGTATAGGCTCCCCAGAGCAGTTTCAAGTGACCCTTTTATCACTCAACACTGGAGACAATTCATCTGGACACTTGTACAAGTGAACAAGTATCTTTGTCTTTGACTAGGGAGGAGTGATTTTTGTTTTGTTTTGTTTTGTTTTTGAGAGATTCAGTCTCTTGCCCTCATACTTTGAATATCCTAGTGGTTCCCGTCTCTCAAAGTATGCATAATGATATCAAAAACATATGAAACCATTAATTAATCCAGAGGAAAACAGCTAAATCCAAAATGAGCAAAAGGGTGTGAAGCTGATTCCACCTCACTGATGACCAGAGTTGGTTCTGAAAATCTGATAGGCTGAAAAGTGATCCCCATGCTCTTGATTCTCTCCATGGGCATGGTGGGTCCATTTGCTTTGCTGAAGAGGTTACTCTTCCGAGCTCAAGAGGTATCACTTTTTAGGAAAGGGTCTCCAGCTAGGACCGCCAAGCAGGGTCTGAAATCTATTTGTAGGATGTTAGAACTGTTTTTTAGAAGAGTAAACACTAGAGGATTTTGATGGATGGGATTATCCCCCTTCCCGCCCCCCCCCCCCCCCGCCCAAATACTGTAGGTATTCAGACAATTTTCTAAATATCAACATTTGGTGCTCTTCCACTAATAAGCGTATTTTCACATGTGAAAATTAGAATGCAAAAATACATGTTTCTGTTCCCCAGTCTCTGACTTGCACTCTTCCATATGTTGGGCTCATTGGTTTACATTCATCAGAGTGCTTTACAACACGGTGACAGTGGTGGGAGGAGTCACGGAGGTCTTTTTTTCACGAACACATGATAGGAATCAAGATATTACCCAAATAAGTTTGGGGTTAGCAGATGCAAACTGTTATACATGGGATGGATGAACAACAAGGTCCTACCTACTGTATAACACAGGGAACTATATTTAATACCCTGTGATAAACCATAATGGAAAAGAATATGAAAAAGAATATATATATGTATAACTGAATCACTTTGCTGTACAGCAGAAATTTACACAACATTGTAAATCAACTATACTTCAATAAAATTTTTTTAAAAGATATTACCCAAATATGACACAGTTAATTCTTTACATCTTCATAGCTACATGCAGACAAATAATTTGTCCTCCCTAGCTTTAATATAACAGCCAATGACAGAATTATATAACTTAGAGATATTTTCTAAAAAGTCTGTTCAATCATTTTTGTATTGCTATACAGATACTCAAATGTAGATTGTTTTAAACAGTTTTTAAGCCAAATTGATATCGAAAAGATTAAACCCCTTTCCATCAAAATTGCCTTAGTAAAACTTTAGTCACCTTCTGCTTTTATTCTTATTTTCTGCTTTGTGAGAATAGTAAAAATTAGAGTGTTGGTATGATTAAAGATACATTCATTTTATGAGTTGTACATGTTTAAGACATACTGTGGAGTTTCATCTTACTTGTTGAGGGGGAGAGATTCCATAGTCAGCACATGGCTAAAACCATTGATAGTTAAAATGACCCTTGAATGTAAACTTAAACCACCCACAGGGACCACATACAGTGGGTTTGTTTTTAAATGCAAGACAGTCGTTTAATAGCCGGTTTTTATCCCAACTTTGAAATAGTCACTCTTCCTTCAGTTTGAGCATCTGACAGTGGTTGGCTTCTGTTCGGAGGCCACGCACCATCAAAAAATAAAGTGTCGTGTCGTACTTTTTGCTCAGTTCACAAGTCAAATGCATGTTTGATGTGACTCCACTGTATTTACTTCCAATGTATTCTTAAAGAGGGGGAATGATAGCTACCTTGTCTGTCACTTTAACATTCAGTTTCCAAACTTGCTGTGAAAACGGCTTCTGTCTCTCCTTGATTTGGCCTCTGATCTTCCCCCCTGCAGGTTTCTGGTTAGCTTTATGGTGGATGCAAGAGGCGGCTCCATGAGGGGAAGCCGGCACCACGGGATGAGAATCATCATTCCTCCTCGCAAGTGCACTGCCCCCACCCGTATCACCTGCCGTTTGGTAAAGAGACATAAACTGGCCAACCCACCCCCGATGGTGGAAGGAGAGGGATTAGCCAGTAGGCTGGTAGAAATGGGTCCTGCAGGGGCACAATTTTTGGGGTAAGTCATTTGTCAGTTTTCATCTTGGCCCTCGTACCACATCTCTGATTTTCTTTACCCTTGTCAACTCAAGTAGTTAACAGTTAAATCTGTTGAGTTGGACCATTTCAGTCGAGTACAGCCTTCATGTAGTATCAGAGGTCACAAAGCTGTGTAATTCTCTGAAAAGCTGGTAGGCTGGTACTTCCTTAACTCAGTTTGCTGGCCAAAGGTTTTACTAACCGAGAAGCATGTTCTCTGCTCAGTGAGTGCACGGAACCCCAGCGGCCCCCGTGGAAGTCAAGGCACCACTCTTATATATCCCACGTTGAATAAATGGCTATTTTGGGTACATGTCTTTTTAATGATCATTTTTTGGGGAACAATCCATTGTGATATTGTATTTTACAAAAGGAAAAAATGCATTTATTTTCTGAGGTGGCACTTGGGTGCAAATCAGGCAGGCTCTGTCGTGACGGACAGTTTGTTCACAGTTTCCCCTTCTTGTTTCTCTTCCTGCTGCATGGATGTTATTCAGTAAACTGCATCTTCCTACCAATCCTCCCCCTGTAAATGAGGGTGAGAGCTTGGTTAGCCGAATCCTGCAGCTTGGGCCTCAAGGAACAAAATTTATTGGGTAGGATCTTTATAGACAAGATACAGAATGTCTACAATTCTTTTTCCATTTTCAATTTTTTTCTGTCACACCCATGGTCTTATTCTTGTCTTAATTTTATTTTTGGTTTTTAATGCTTTCAGTTGATGTGTGTCACTGAAAGAAGAAAAAAAAATCATAGTGGCTTGACTTAATGCAGCACCGCTACCTCTCTTGTGCTTTTCAAGCATGTGGAAGTCACTGCAAGCATTCTGCTTTCATAACTCTGTGCTTCTGTAAACCTTGCTTTAATTTGAAATGTTTCAACTGATGCTGATAGTTTTTAAGACAGACTGATTTTAACCCAGTGTGAAAGAAGATATATGCAGGCTTTGAATCAGCATTTGCTGTAAATGATATATATGTGTATATATATATATATATATATATATATATATATATATACCTGTATATATATATGTATGTGTGTGGAGTTGCATTTTTTTTTTAAAAGTACTTATGGGCTGTGAGAAGGACAAGTCATCAATAAGTAAACTGATTTTGAAAAAATGTTGGGAATACAAGATATTTAAAGAAAATCCAATAGGCAGCAGGTAGCATATTCTACTAAAGTTATTAAATTGTTTTGTTTTGTTCTGTTTAAGCTGAAATGTGTTGGTATTTGTCTGTCTGCTTATCTGTCTGATTGGTGTGTTTGCATTGGCAGTCTGCATGAAGAAACCTGTTATGAAAAGTTATGCTTGGCTTTCACCTTGGTCCCAGACCCTTGTTCATTCCTCCTCTCCAATATTGTTGAATGTCATACACAAAGCCACATTCCTGAAATATTTCGAGTGACAGTATCTGATGCATTAACCTGCAAAGATTGTATCTAGTTTTCAAAAAAAGAAAAATTTAATGTCTAATCACCAGGTGTGGTTAAAAACTAAGGTGAACATCTTAATAACTCTTGAAATTACTAACACTATTAGGAATAGTTGATTTTGTTCTTACCCACTGAAAAATAAAGGGATTATAAAAAATGTTTCAAACCCTTAATTTGAATTAATTGTAATTATTTTGCCCAAAGTAAAATTTTCATATTTATCATCCCATTTTAAGTGAATGCTTTTGTAATAAATCAAATATTAATATGTTTTTATTTATGTCATTTGGTCATTACAACTACTATCCTTTTTTATGCTATTACCTATTTAAGCCTGTATCTTCTGTCACCACATGTACATAAACACACAGGCCAAGAGGTGAGGTTATATACAACCTCTGTAGGAGAATAATGATACTGTCTACTTAAATGTCATAAAATAAAGCTGCACAATCCAGCTACATAAACTGTGTGTGATTGTGGTCTGCTTACTTCCATTCATCCTTTTTAGCATTTATCCTACTTCAAAATTTATTATTCAAAAATTATTCCTGTGCTTGATTGGCTCTCTTCAATTTGCAGCCATTTTTTCGCCTTCTTTTGCAAAAGGACACTGTCAAAAATTACTAGATCGTTTTATGACAGTTTCAAACCAATAATGCTTTTTCAGAAAGTTTAATTCCTATGCAGCCCTACGAGAGCTAGGAAATTACACTGCCCATTTCACAACGTAAAAATCAAAGTAACTGTCTTGACTATACAGGCCATGAAAGTTATGAAAACTGACCGTTGGAAGGAGTGGATTGTTATATTGATTGTTTTCTTGCTAAGGGAAAAAAAAATCAGTAATCTTTCAAAATAGGCAATTTACAGAATTTCTTTTTTCAAGAAACGACTGTGTCCTTTTAAATCATGAGCATTTTGTATAATACAATACACTATTGTGTTTTAAAAAATGGACCAACTTTCTTTCTTATGGTCTATTTTAATAACTTTCAATTCCTCGATTACTTATGTGTGCTGAATATTTTCCCCCTATTCAATCAAATGCCTAACATATGATAGGCCCCCAAGAATTGTTTGTGAATGAATGAATGATGGCATGTTTTCAGGTTTCTAATATATTATTTAATTAGCAAATGATTCTGCAGCTTTGAAATCATTCCCAACCTTAGTGGCACCTCTGATTTTCAAATGAATACTGTCAATGAAACACTTTTAAAAGTATGAAACTATAAACCTATTTCCTTTGATACCAAAATAATGCGGCTTTTTTCTTCCAGCCCTGTCATAGTGGAAATCCCTCACTTTGGGTCTATGAGAGGAAAAGAGAGAGAACTCATTGTTCTTCGAAGTGAAAATGGTGAAACGTGGAAGGAGCATCAATTTGACAGTAAAAATGAAGATTTAACCGAATTACTTAATGGCATGGATGAAGGTAATTACAGTGACTCCCTGTTTCTCTGAATGTCTGCAGGAAGAAATCAAAGGAATGGCTAGACTAAAGGAAACAGTACTTGAATTTCACACGTTTGTATTTTAAACTGGGAATCGGGTTCCTCAGCATTTATTGTTTTCTGTGTCTAAGGCATGAAGTTCCATTTAATCTAACAAACCCCGCCCCCCCCATATTAATGTATAAACCTTCGGATAATTCTCTGTCTTAAATCAACTGTATCAATCTTTCCAAAGCTTAAGAAAGTTTTCTAAGTCAAAAATGTGTAAGGAGGGAGTGAAATAATAATGCAAGGTATGCAAAGCATGCAGAGCATTTTTAAGAAAATATGTTCACTTTTTATTTTTGGAATCATTATTTTCGTGCCCCTTCTTTTATCTCAGTCTTCTCGCAGATTATTTCAGTATTCTTATGGATTTTTAATTTCTCCTGGGTTCTAATCAGTTTTTAAAAAAAATAGGTTTCAGGCTAATGATTGGGGAGTCTGTGGTGCTTCCAGTGTCTTATTCTTTGACCTGGTAAGACTGGCCTATAGCGAGCATGTCACTCTCTCATACACACCTTCTTCAGGCTGCCTGCCCCTTAGAATCGTAGCAGTTTTTCTTGGTAGATATTGGGAACAGACTTGTTTTGAGAGTGGGTACTTGGTGCAGCGTTTTCCTTTAAAAAGGTAAAAATAAAAAAAAAGAGAGAGAGAGAGCTCATCATAAAATAAAGCTAATCTTTATACTGACTTGCTAATCACTACAAATCCAGCAACTGGTTTTTGTTTTTGTTTTTATTTTATTTATTTATTTATTTATTTATGGCTGTGTTGGGTCTTTGTTTCTGTGCGAGGGCTTTCTCTAGTTGTGGCAAGCGGGGGCCACTCTTCATCGCGGTGCGCAGGCCTCTCACTATCGCGGCCTCTCTTGTTGCGGAGCACAGGCTCAGCGCAGGCTCAGTAATTGTGGCTCACGGGCCCAGCTGCTCCGCAGCATGTGGGATCTTCCCAGACCAGGGCTCGAACCCATGTCCCCTGCATTGGCAGGCGGACTCTCAACCACTGCGCCACCAGGGAAGCCCAGCAACTGTTTTATATAACAGCTTTACTGGAGAAATTATTCACATACCATAAAATTCACTCTCTTAGCATTTAGCTCACGAGCTTTTGGAATGCATCTAGCATAGTCTCTACTGGTTGTGAAGTGTGGACAAAGGAGCTAGACAGACTCGAGGGTGTTTGAGGGACGACCTCGGACAAGCTCTTGGATCCCCGTGAGCCTCTGTTACTTCTATAAAATGGAGATTACCTTCCTCACTTCATAAGGTTGCTGTTGAGAAGAAATAAAGTCATTATGTGAGGCGCTTTTCAGATACAGCCCTTGTTACAAACTAAGCCCTTGATAAATATCCACTATTATATTCATTCCATAGAAAAAATTGTCATGCCAAAGGTATTGTATAAGACACAGCGAATCACAGCCAACCAAGAATTTAAAGATGTCTTTACGGCAGGGTAGGGGGAACCTAATCATTGCTGAGAGTCTAGCATTCGTGAGGCACTGATAAATGCCTCTATGTATGGAAATTTAAAATGAAAGCATAGTACTGCGAAGTAGGTAGTTTTAATCCCACTTTATAGATGGGGGAACTGAAGTTCAAACAAGTCAAAAGGTTACCCCCAACTCAGTAGCAGCACAGGGGCTGAAATCTCGTTCTACCTGTTCTCAAAAACTTTTAACTATCCCACTTACTTTAGAAATATGTGTCCTGTGGAGAAGAAAATAAACCTAAAGAATAAAATTCCTACAAACCTCTAGATTTCAAGATCCAGAAGAGTCATTTTAAATGTTATACATGTAATGAGTATACATTAAATGTTTATACATAATACTGACATGTATATCCCGTACCATTCACAACTTCAGATAATTTCTGATGGATGGGAACTTTCATTGGCAATTTAGATTTCTAATAGTTATTACCTTAATTTATTATAAAGCATGAAATATAGTTTTTTATAAGGAAATTTATAAGAAAACATAATCAAAAGTTTTAAAATGAGTAAATCCTAAGGGAAAGAACTGAATTTGCATTTTGAAAAGAGTAAAAGAATATGGATGATTGAGAATAAAAAATAGAGAGAATAAGATAAATGGGTTTTCCAGAGGATAGTTTTTTTTTTTCCTGTTTTAAGGAAAATAAGGTATAAAGATATTTTCATGTATCCAGTATTTCTTAAATACCATTGTAGATTACTAGTTTTTTAATGCAGCATCCTCTCCACAAGGATTTCTTTTTTTTTTTTAACCAATAGCTACCTTGACATTGTAAGTAGCTGAGGGCAGAGTACGTGTCTTAATCGCTTTTGAGTCACCAGTATCGGGCACAGTCCTGATTCGGACACTCACCCAATCCTGGAGAGTAGGCAGAAGGAGGAACCTCATGATAATATATAGCTCTGGGGGGTGTGGGGGGATGAACTGGGAGATTGGGATTGACACATATACACTAACATGTACAAAATACATAACTAATAAGAACCTGCTGTATAAAAATAAATGAATAAAATAAAATTCAAATTAAAAAAATTATATATAGCTGTCTGGAAGAAAGCTCTTGTTAGTCTGTTTCTTCTCCCCCAAACTTCATTAATGTTTTAGGAAGAATACTGAATATTCTAAGAGAGTGTTGTCCAATAGCACTTTCTATGGGGATGGAAATATTCCATACCTGTGTGGTCCAACAGCCATCACTAGTCACCGGAGACTCTTGAGCACTTGAAATGTGACTAGTGCAAGCGAAGAAGGTAATTTTTAATTTTGTATAATTAATTTCAAATAGTCACCTGTGGCCAGTGGCCACCTCATTAGACACCGCAGTTCTGACAAAAACACCGGATTCTAATAACATGTTCTTCATTTTTGAGCACAGGTTATAGTATCAGGCACAGGCAGATTTTTTTTTTTAATTTTAAGGTTTATTTATGGAATGGATTTCCATGATTTCATACTGACATGTCTTTATTTTGGGGTTTTTTTTTGTTTGTTTGTTTTGTTTTTTCTTTCATTTTGTTTTTAATAAGCCAGTTTTCAAATAGGAAGTTAGTCCTATCTTTGCTTAGACAAATGACGCCCCAGACACTGCCACACTAGGGGCATCTGTCCGATGTTTTAAAGAAATGATGATCTAGCCCTATCCTGGATTCTGCATGTTATCTTGGAAATAGTGGGTAGAGTTTCTTTGCTACAGTTTTTAAGACCAGATAAAGTTTGGTTCCATTTTAGACAATTAAAAGGAAATGCAAATACTTCCAAGTTTAAAGAATCAAGCACTGGAGGCCACAAAAGGAAAACTGAGGACTAAATTTTCAAGGCACCATGGTTTTCTTCATATATTAAATCTATAAGAGCAATGATAATGAAGGAATCAAGACACACATTTTATAACTGAAGCTCAATTAATCAGATTTCATGCCAAGCTCACGCACCACTAACCACCACTCTTGTCCTGTCCCCAGAGAAACTTAGCCCTTATTGGAACATCCCTCCTCTAAAAGCAGACAGGCGAAAATAAAAATCAATCAGTCTCTAAAAATCCAACCCTTCTTTTTCCTTCAAGGTCCAACTAGTCAAACTTCTTGTGGGGAGAGAAGCATAAGCATGGTTTAGGAGGTTTCATGTTATCTCTACCCTCACCACCCTGTACCCCTGGATAGCTGTTAATTAGCAAGATAAAAATAGTACATAAAATAAGCCAGTGACCAGATCACTCAAGAATTCCTTAAAGAAAAAGAGAAATAAATCATTCTACTGTTATTTTATTTACCCTATCAGTTTACCCAGTTCATAACAATTAAGCCTTATCTGCCATCTATGGCAAGTGACCCTTGATAATACCTGTCTTATTACAAATGTCTCATTTTAACCCTCTTTTCCATAAATGAACTCAATGTGTTACTTTATAAGTAATCTATTCTACTTTTATAACTAGTCCTGTTGCACCGTCTTCTCTGAACATCTTAAAACCCAAGTGTTTAGAAAGCATCTTAGCCAGTATTTTGATCAGTGATTTTTTTACTGAACAACACAATTGTAAAGATTAGATTATGGTTCTGTAGTATTTTAAAACTTGCAAAGCCTTTCCATGTGCACAATCAAATTGTAACTCCAGGGCTTCCCTGGTGGCGCAGTGGTTGAGAGTCCGCCTGCCGATGCAGGGGACACGGGTTCGTGCCCCGGTCCGGGAAGATCCCACATGCCGCGGAGCGGCTGGGCCCGTGAGCCACGGCCGCTGCGCCTGCGCGTCCGGAGCCTGTGCTCCGCAACGGGGGAGGCCACAGCAGTGAGAGGCCCGCGTACCGCCAAAAACAAACAAACAAATTGTAACTCCAGGGAAAGACAAGTCCAAGGAGGAGGATAGTTTGCCCAACGTGGTGTGGTCGTGAGGATCACGACCTGTGGATGTCACACACACTGGAATTCCCATCCTGGCTCCACGGCTTACTAGCTGTGCGACTCCAAGAGAGCCCTTGATCTCTCTAAGCTCATAGAGAACTAATGGGAAATAGATGAGCTAATATGTGTGAATTTCTCAGCATGATGTCTGACACATGAGAACCACTCTCAAAGTTAGCCATAGCCACGGCTGCCACGTACAGCTAGCTGGGCAGGAGAGCGAGGGGGGCAGACATCTTGCCTCTTCCACTTTCCAAGCCATCTGCTCTGACACTGGCCTTCAGGACAAAGGGGCACCTTTATCTAATGTTTTCAAAGCGACTCTCTAGTTGCCTACAGGGCTGTGTCCACTCCACATGGACGCTTTTCCAGATCCCACGAGGACACCTCCAGGGCTAGTGGAATCCCTGGTCACAGTTGATGGTGATTACCCCATGACTACCACCCAGTCAGGAAATCGTAAGCAGACAGATCTAGACTTCTGACTCCAAATCTAGCCGTTTTCCTACAATACTCCCTTGCCTCTGTATCTTCTCAAATGAA